AAGTTAACAAACAGAAATGCTCAAGAAGTCATTCTACTCGAGATGATGTTTTCAAATTTATTTATAAAATCTATTATAACATCTATTTATAAACATTGTCGATAAAACAGTTATATGATATATTACTTTCAAAATAATATAAAACAGAAAACAAAAAACCACGACAGAAACCAGCATGCGGAAATACCACAATGTATTTGAGATATTGTGGGTAAGACGATGGAATTTCAGATCAAAATCACAAATTACAACTACACATCTTCATACCAAACATTTATCGTCACAAGAGTTCTACGTGAATGCTGAAAAAACTGTTGAGGTAAAAAAAATCATACTATTTTATAAATAAATTGAAATGAGTAGATAAGATAAAAAAAATAATAATAAATATTTTCAGGGTACACGAAAGGTGATCTTAGAAGAAGTGGGGAAGAAGGTTTATCAAAGATTAAATATGATACACAATTTAATGAGATAACAGTGATAGCAAATACAGATGGTCAACTGTTTACCAGAGTGCAACAAAGAGGTATATACCCCAACTATCATTTTAATAAATCATTCAACAAACATACGCACAATATTAATTACATTCATATATATTAGGCACCACATGGAAAAGCAAAAACAAGCATCACTATAAAGACTGATGAATCTAAGAGAATGGAAGAAGACTAAGCCAGCTCTTGAAGCTTTACCAAAGAGAAAAAAGCTACAATCTAATTAATTTGAAATAAAAAAAAGACTTCATTACTACGACGGTGTTAAATTTAAATATTACAGCCAGAGAGGTCACGTTTTGGATCTCATGAATCAGATTTTCATTTCCTTCTAATTAAAACCAGTGTTTACCTAACCATGTTTTGTTTCAAATATTTACCTATTCTGAGAAGAAATAGATAAACATCAGTTTTGCTTTCAAAAAATATATTACTGTTATTATTAGTAATAGAAGCACTTGATGGTGGTGGACGGTGGAAGACGGTGGTGGAATTCTGTTGAATCTCTCCGGGCTACGACTCATTTCACGCTACCTTCTCCATACATTGCTGCTTCTACTTCCGATTCAAAATATACAAATCTTATGTCACAATCATATTTTCTATATAACAGAAATAAAAAAGAACCAAGTTTTTACCAAAACAAAAGAAAAGAACCAAGTTATGTTTTATCATTTACCTGTCACGAGAACCAAAACTACCTCTGCCACCATAACCAGAGTTGCCACCACGACCACATCGGCCTCTGGAAGGATGGCCCCAACGATTAAATTTGTTCATTCTGCCACCACTGCATGTAACCATTTCGTAGATCTAAAGAGGACCTTTTTGGTTTACTTTGTCTAAAATAAGATAAGAGGAAGACCTTTTTGGTTTACTTTACTTTTTTGCTTTTTCTAAGATCTTGATCAGATCCGAAGCATATTTCAAGTCTTGGTCATCAAAGAATGCATGAAAATTCTTCCACTCCATTGGGAAAAACATAGTTTATGACCGGCCAGTAATGCAAATATTATACTACAAGTGAAAGCTTGATTTCCTACATCAAATATCATAACAAAACCGTAGGAAATAACCGTTTCCTACAGATTCTCAACAAAATATTTTTGTAGATTTTCGCTCGTTGAAAATTGAAAAAAGTAAGAAAATGGTAATTAAATTCTTACAAAACTGTAGAAAACTTTCGTCAGAAAAATCGTTAGGAATTGCGTAGGTCTGTTATTACCACATTTCTACCTAATTCCTTCAAAATCTTCTTATCGTTTTCCTAGGAAAATTTTCCTACCGACTTCCTTCAAACAAATTCCTAAGAATTTATTTCGAAGCATTTTCTACTATTTTCCTATGAAACAATTCTCTACGAACTTCCAATGAATCATTTCCTTCCCTTTTCCTACAAAAGTAATAAAAATTATTTATATTAATTCAAGAGTATAATTAATTCCTCAAATAAAAATATGTCGCAAACAAATTTGGGAGATCTGATTTAAGCTTCTTTAAAATCTGCTTTGTGATCATCCCGGTTGTTTCATGCTTAAACCTATAAATAATTGTTTAAAATCATTAAAAAGAGATATATGTAAGCTTCAAAATATCTGAAGTTAGTAGGAAATTTATAGTCAAAGTAACCAAGTTGCTTCTCCTTCTCGATCAGGACATAGATACGGGAGATTATTTCAGCCAGGTGCAAGCAACAAGTCATCCACCAAACATAATGTTGGAGTTGTTGAAACCTCGGTCTAATGAACTGTGGAATTAGATGGTTGACATGTGCTACTATTACAATTGTCATAATTGTGCTGAGGAAGAGGCGGAGATAAATATCATACGTCGTTCGGTTTCGAACTATCATATTGTCGCCTTTCCTGGGACATACCGCTCAAATCTTTCACGAGTACTCTGCTGCAAAATCATACATTTGTTTTGCAGGTTGAGAAAAACAACCAACAATTACAAATATTGTTTGCGATTGCAGAAAGATAACTTCAAAAAAATCTCGAGGCTTTCTTATTTGATGCAAAGTACCCTAGAAAAATCAAATCCCTTTACAGATCTGATTTTTGATGAAATTACAAATTTGTTTCCTAATTTTGGACTAAAATAAATAATAAATGAGAAAACGATAAATGCACCATAAAATTTGGAATTGGTGGTGAAGAGAAGTTTTCCAGCATCTCGCCAGTGTTGATAGTAGTGTTGACATTTGGTGGATTGCGTTGAGATTCGGTGGACTGCGTTGATATCTGGCAGTGAGAATTCATGATAGAACAAAGAGCAAGAAATCATACTGAAAACAGACAGAAAATAACAAGATATGGATGTTAAGTGAAAATTAAAGGTATTCTTGGAAAAAGATGAAGAAAGTGAGGCAATCGTTTAGAAGAAAGAAGACAATTCTTGGTTAAAAGATTCTGAAAAGATAATTAGGTTATGGAATTTCTGGTAGGACATTGATAGGTATCCATAATATTTTCTAAATTATACACCACAAATCATTTATTTTAATTCATAAAATATTAATTAAATAATATATAAAATAATCAACAGAATTAAACATAATATTTTTTAAAAAATTACACTAAAAGATAAACATATGAACAAATATATTATACACCATTTTTTGTTAATAATCAAATCAAAAACTACTCAGAATCAGAAGAATACTCGAAGATAAAAAATCTGTATCATCTTCAAACTCTCCAAGCTCCTTTTCGGAAACTTCGAGTATATCATTGATTGTTTAATCACCCAACTGTACCAAACTTGTTTCTCCCAAAGATTGATCAACATAACCAAGTTACCTTGTTACAAAAGATCGTGTTCTGTTACACCCTGTATTCTTTCCCTTGGGTTTATTTCTGTTATAGTAAACCAAGAATCTTGTCTCTGTCTTATGCAAGGATAAGAACTTTAGCATACTTGATCTGTTTGTGATACCAGAATAAAAGGATCATATATGTTCAATTGCCTTGACGAGTTCACTTCAGTTAAACCAAATTTGGTAAAGCATACACCTCCCCCAACAGCTGGATCGTACTAATCCCACATGAATATTATGCATTTTAAGTTGTCTACTCCAGGGGTACTCAAGTTCCAAGATTTCCTTGAGCATACCATAATATACATCGCAACCGGCTTGTGTAGATATCCCATAGTTTACCGTTTTCAAACTATGTTCCAGGCAGAATATATTAAACGCATATCTACGGGTGGGGAACTCTTGCAAGCGATAAAGGATCACCATCCAACTCCTCTAACCATGTGACTAATGTTTCACCTATCATCTGACATGAATGCTCCTGTTTCATAATAATTAATTAGTACTTAATTATTATGTATATGAAGAATTCATAAATGAATAAATTCACATAAAATCTATCCATTATGCAAATTCTACTTGTTTTCTTCCACCAATTCCATTCTCATAATAAATGGATATTAGGTCCTCAATTGCTTCACATACAGCAAATTACAGATTAAATTAGTATATCACAAGTGAGAAAAAATTTAATATATCAAATATCTATCTATATATATAAAGAGAGCTTTTCTCTCTTCTGGTGCTGCTACCTCAGCAGCCAAATCTGTAAAATAAAGATTGTTAAAAAAAAACCGATAATCCAACATCAGCCCACAACCAATTATGTTAAAAAAACGATAATCCAACTTCAGCCCACAACCAATTCTCTTCCCTTCACCAACTCCACAAAACTCTACCACTGGGCTTTCAAATGGCTGCGGGAACAATTTAGTAAGCCCACCATAACTGTTGATCTTCATCGATAACCCTATTTTCGGTTAAGTCATCATACATTTACGATCCTCCGTTTCAGAAAAACACAGAATAACCTTCCACGCATACGTCGTCGAAAGCCATTAAAGGCTACCGGAGATGGAGGAGATGAATCGACCTCAGTTTGCTTTTAATTTTGCCATCAATTACAACATACGTTTCACGAAAACTGCTGCTCCAAATCTGTAAAATAAAGATTGTTAAAAAAAAACCGATAATCCAACATCAGCCCACAACCAATTATGTTAAAAAAACGATAATCCAACTTCAGCCCACAACCAATTCTCTTCCCTTCACCAACTCCACAAAACTCTACCACTGGGCTTTCAAATGGCTGCGGGAACAATTTAGTAAGCCCACCATAACTGTTGATCTTCATCGATAACCCTATTTTCGGTTAAGTCATCATACATTTACGATCCGCCGTTTCAGAAAAACACAGAATAACCTTCCACGCATACGTCGTCGAAAGCCATTAAAGGCTACCGGAGATGGAGAAGATGAATCGACCTCAGTTTGCTTTTAATTTTGCCATCAATTACAACATACGTTTCACGAAAACTGCTGCTCCAAATTCCTCTCCATCAATTTCAAACAAACGGCGCACACACGCACCATCATCTCTATATATAGGTCCCTCTCATGGTAAGCTTCAATCACATTCATCAGTTCTCTGCCTTTTAAACACACTCCACAATCTGCTCGACATGGAAGCACCCTACGTTCCATTTGCTCTGCTGAAATCTGGCCGTCTTAACCAGCGTTTGGTTGCTAGGTTGCTCCGTTTCTGGCCTGCTCGCAACATCAAAAAAGGTGGTCAACTCATGGGCGTCGACCTCCTCCTCCTTGACGAGAAGGTAATCTGCGAGTAACCTGCAAATACCAAACAAATTAGCTCATTTCCCTGAAAGCTAACTATGACTTACAAATTTTTGGCGATAGTCTACACTGATGCAGGGTTCCATACATGTCCACCATCTTCCTGTTTTCCAGTCATTGTTGGTTGAAGGATCATTGTATGCTATCAGTGGGTTCGAAGTCACAAGGAGCTCCACCCGATTCAAGCTTACAGATTTCCATATGTCCATTCGGTTCACCGCAGATACTGCCATGGTTCGTGTGGAACAGTCATTGTGCAACATACCCACCGAACACTTCCGATTTCGGTCCTACGACCAACTTTTGGCCCTTGGCAACACTAACAGTGAGCTTCCTGGTATGGTACCACCACTCTCCCTTGAAACTGCCTCTATACCAATTTTTTTTTCAAAATACTGTAATAGATTCGTTCACCATAAGATCACAATCTCTGCAATTTTTTAAAAAACGCAGATATTATTGGAGAAGTCTGCTCAACGAAATCTTATCACGATGAAACCACAGAGGGCGTTCAGAGAATGCTGATTCACCTTCGTATTGAAAGGTACTGATGAGTCTTGGTCACATTACTTCACCATTTAAACATTGCCTCAGCCATCCCAAATAATACTTAATACCCATCTTTATTTCCCTGCAGCGGAGATAAAGTCCGAGTGAGTGCTTTTGATGATAACGCTAACTTCCTACACAAGTTATTTAGCGAGAAAGAGGCAGGGATATGTATCATGTTGGCCACCAATATGAATCCCAAGTTTTTCGGAGGTACCCCGTGCCACTACCTCTATAGATTTGATTTTTATTATATTTCTCATGAATATATTATCTTACCATGTATTAATTTCCAGGCGATCTTTATCTGAATGCCACAACTGGTTCGAAGTTCTACTTTGACGGCGACGTCAACGCAACCAAATCCTACCTGGACCGGTAAGATTAGAACATTAATGTCCATACGTTGCTCCAACGTCTACTAAAAAAGCTAACACAATGTTCGTACTTCTACGATAATAAAAAGCAGCGTCAGCTCCAAAGATTCAGGAAATCTCCCCGCTGAAAAATACCATGGCGTCCAGAAGATTGAACATGTATCCATTGCAGAACTGAATGACTTTTTGTTCACATCTGACCTACAGGTTAACCTTAATATCCCTCCTTAATCTCCCCACTATACACACCAAAGGATATGCTTATACACCTCTAACTACATCTCTTTAAGTGTAGGAGGCTGAATTTCTGTGTACCGGTAAAGTTGTCGAGATCCAGCCTACAAAAGGGTGGTGTTACATATCCTGTTCAAAATGTGCAAAGAAGATGACCAAAACCGAAACTACCCTGGCCTGCAACAATTGCTACTCCCCTGATGCAGTTGGTGATGTCAAGTAATACCGTCCTCTAAACTACACCATCCATTCACCTGACTTTGGAAAATCGGCACACTGGTTAACCTATTGATTCCAAGGCCATTAACAACTAACATTTCTCAACTCCCATGTTATCAGATACCGGGTGGAGATGGTCGTCGATGATGGGAGTGCAACGTCTGTTTTTGTAGCATTCGACAAGGATATGGTGAAGCTTACTAATATTCTAGCTAAAACACTCGCTGCCAAAATTGTGAGCTTCCAGATCTAACTTATTACACTTCACACTCTGTTTTACAAATTTGTAAGCCAACGCCATACTTAATCAGTCCTCACCCATCTATCTAACAGAACGATGCAGAAACCGCGGTCGAAAATGACATTGGCATCCCCAAGGTTATCGCAGATATTGTTGGGAAGAAATACACCTTCCACATCAAGCTCACATCCTTCAATTTCACAACACAGCATCAGTCATTTACTGTGACGCGAATATTTGACAAACCCTATGAAGTCCCGACACCAACATTTGTTACTCAGGTTAAACTCTACAAAAACATTTTCATATATTCGTATTCTTCTCCCTGCTTACTTATAACCCTCTTGCAGAAGGATCTGAATGCAACACTCCAACCCAAAAGCGGTCAGAAGGGCCAAAGTTTGCCTGTTTTGGAATCGACGACCTCAGACGGCGCACCACCAAATACAAACGCTGAGAAAAAAGCACCGTCAAACAGTGAAGATGATGGGGAGAACCATATGTCTCCAACCGAGAGTAACAATCACGTCCGCAAGAAATCAAAACATAACTAGAGTCGACCATGATGAAGTTCGAGCCGTTCCACATACATGCATATCTGAACAACGTATCTGTAGGGGCATGGGCCCTGTTTTATTTTCTTTATTTCGTTATTCTCCAATTCAGTATTACTTTCTACGAGTACATGTTTTCGTATTTTGATTTCCAATGTAATAAAGTTACGTTCACAGAAACATAGCATTCGTTTTCTGTCTTCCTTACATTTCATGTGAACAAAATATACTTTGCACCGAACAGTAGAGGTTGAAATATCATCTCCCCATAATTCATCTTCCTACAAGAAATTTACGCACATATTGCCGTTGTGGTAGAAAATCACCATTCATGCAAGTCATGCATGGCATCCAAACTTACGTCATCTCTACATTAATTTTTTAAAATGTTGCTTGAATTTAATAAAAATTCTGGGAGTTAAAAGCACTACAGCTAATGGCATATTTAATAAAATATTGTATTCGGGCCGCTCCACTATCATCTTAGTAGTAATTATATAGTCGTGTGGTGGAAAGCGCTGGAATCAGCTAACTGGGAGATCTAGATGATTACCAAACTCATGAAAGGTGCGACATGGTGACATTAGTATAACTGACATTTCAACACCTTCCATAGTTCTGACGGATTGAACGGTGCCAATTATTTCTTAACGTTCAAACAATTTAACATTTATTAGTAAGTTAAATACAGCGTAATGACAGAACTAATTGCCGACTGATGAAATACAAACTTTCACTAACCCCCACAAGAACTAATCATTTTCCCATTAAACAATGACTGCGCAACAAAAAAAAAAAAGGAAACAGATCCCCCTCCAGAGGGAAGTAATTCATATGGAAATGGAAACAGATATACAGGAAGACAGCTGGGTCCAAAAGAGAATCCCAAATTCAAAAAACGTAAGCCCCATTTACGCCTTCTACAATTATATATCAATGGAACTGAAATTTCCTAATCATTTCAGGTACTGTTGTTCCCAAAATAAACCAACCATGGTTATCACAGATATATAGTACACCAACCCTCATTTCGGAAGTCTCATCTGAGAGTAAAGCTACACAAGGTTAACACTCGCCTTCAACCTATTTTATACTAAAAGAACAGATCCAAACATTATACTCAACTCAAATGTATATCATGCACAGATGTGTGTACGAGAGCTCGGCAATTACGAGTTGCAATAATTTCTGCAAAAAAGAAAACCAAGGCATTAAGAGGTTCCATTTCAACACTATAAATTTCTTCAACTAATAGTTAACCAAAACGTACAACATAACATGTTGATGACAGAGATTTTCAGTCACCACATTTGTAAAAGAAGCATAATATTACACGTACATAACTAATGATGATCTGTGTTAACAGGATCGTCTAGCCACATACCACGTCCTGCTCACATAGAATGTAAGATCCCGTACTATTTCTATTTCCCTATGACTAACCGGTATAAGAAAGGGAGCACATCAAACTTAATCAGACATGCAAAAACTTACAGATAAGCATGACAACTGGAAACCTATAGTGGGAGATATTCTAACATGCCGATTCTGTGATGCCCTGATATGGAAAGGAGAAACTAGAAACCAATTGCAGTGTTGCCAACAAGGCCGCGTAAAACTCCCAAAAGTCCAACCAATACCACCAGAACTACAAAAGCTGTACGATGAATCTCCGGAATTTGGCAACCACATCCGACTGTTAAATTCACTATTAGCATTCACTTCAACGGGAGCTAAAGTGGATCATTCAGTAACAGGCACACCTGGACCATTCACATATAGAATCCACGGGCAAAATCATCACAACATAGGTTCTTTGTTACCAATGGATGGAGAGGACCCTCATTTCTTGCAACTATACATTTTCGACACTGCAAATGAAATCTGTAATCGTTTGAGAGCAATGCCCCCATCAGGACAAAGCAAGCCAGTAAATGAAGAAACTCTAAGAATCCTCATATCAATGTTGGATAGAATAAACAGGCTTGCAAAGATCTTCCGGAGTGCTAGAGATCGGTATGAAGATGGTAATGAATCGGAATTCAATATCAGATTGATTAGCCAAAAACACCGTGGAAAGCAGTATGATTTACCCAGTTCAGATGAGATTGGCGGTTTGATTGTTGGGGATTTCTCCGCATCAACAATAGGACGAGACGTAGTCTTGCAATACAAGTCTTCTGAATTGCAACGAATCAGTGATTTGCACCCACTATTTATGAGCCTCCAGTATCCACTGTTGTTCCCTTACGGCGAGTATGGATACCATGAAGAAATACCATACCACAACCAAGAAGCCAGTCAACTAAAGAGGACGTCTATGACAATGAGAGAGTATTACGCTTACCAAATCCAAACACGACTTTCAGAGGGGCTGACAATAGTTAAGGGTGGAAGGTTATTCCATCAATTCATAGTAGATGCCTACACTGCGACTGAGCAAGAGAGACTGCGGTTCTGTGCTCTGAACCAGAAACAACTAAGGGCGGATCTGTACAACAACGTTTATGATGCTGTCGGCAGAGGAGATACAGATGCAAAACTACTTGGGAAAAGGATAATACTGCCTTCATCCTTCACAGCTGGCCCAAGATACATGGTTGAGAAGTACCACGATGCAATGGCTATATGTAGGTGGTTTGGAAATCCAGACTTATTCATCACAATGACGGCGAACCCAAACTGGCCAGAAATCAAAGACCACCTCAACACATATACAGCGGAATCCTCAAACTCCAGACCGGACTTGCAGTGCAGGGTCTTCAAGCTAAAACTAGACCAAATGCTGTCAGATTTCAACAAAGGCGTCTTTTTCCCCGTCCCTGTTGCAGGTGCGAGAAAACTATCTCAAAACAATGACGTTATTTATTATTTCTTACCAAACTAACACAAAATTCCAACATATGCAGTGGTATATACAATAGAGTTCCAAAAACGGGGCTTACCTCATGCCCATATTCTTCTCTGGCTAAGAGGTATGACCACTAACCCAGAACCTGACTTGATCAACGAATTCATCTCTGCTGAATTACCAGATAAAGAAAAAGACAAAGAAGGCTACGAACTGGTTAAGTTACATATGATGCATGGCCCCTGCGGTCTAGCGAAGCCAAATTCACCATGCATGGAAAAGGGCGAGTGCACTAAACGGTATCCAAGAGACTTTATTGACACCACCACGGTCGATAAAGCAGGGTTTATTCTCTACAGGCGCCGGCAGGATGATTCTAATTTTGTTATCAAAGGAGGCACAAAATTAGATAACCGACATGTAGTCCCGCATAACCTCAAACTCCTGAAAAAATATAAAGCCCATATAAACGTGGAGTGGTGTTGCAAAACAAGCGCAGTAAAGTATCTCTTCAAATATATAACCAAAGGAGTGGACAAAGCAACTGCAGTGATTGAAAAAACAACCAAAAGGGCCAATAAAAAAGAAGGGAAGAAGCAGAAAGAGGAAGCAGTCAACGAAATCACTGATTACCTTGAATGTCGGTACGTCTCAGCTTGTGAGGCAGCTTGGAGGATCTTCGCGTTTCACATACATTTTCACAAACCAGCTGTCATAAGGTTGCCCGTTCATCTACCTGGTCAGCATAGATTGGTTTACGATCAGACAGACAACTTGGAAGTTGTTCTATCTAGAGACGGTGTGGAGAAGACAATGCTCACCGAATGGATGACTACAAACAATAACAACCCAGACGCCTGCAAACATACATATGTTGAGTTCCCTAAATATTATGTTTGGACGAACTCAAATAAGACTTGGAGCAAAAGGAAACAAGGGCAAGCAATTGGGAGAATAGTCAACATTCAACCATCTGCCGGGCAAACTTTTTACCTCCGTTTATTGTTGAACATACTTAAAGGCATAACAAGTTTTGATGACATATTAATTATTGACGGCGTAAGACAATCATCATATAAAGATGTCTGCTATGCTATGGGATTACTTAAGGATGACAAAGAATGGCACGATGCAGTTGATGAAGCCGCTATTTGGGCAACGGCAAAACAGCTACGGTATTTTTTTGTCATGCTGCTCCTCTATTGTGAGGTCTCTAAGCCACTCAATCTATGGAATCATTGTTGGAGATACCTAGCTGAGGATATTCTGCACAGAAGACGGAAAGAATTCGGGTTCAAGCAGTTAGAACTAGAAGACCCACAGTTGGAGCAATATACACTCATTGAAATTGAGGAGTTATTAATGCAGAACGAAAGATCATTAGCAGAGTTTGATGATATGCCAAAACCTGACAAAGCAATTTTAAAAGACATCTCCAACATGGTGCTTAGACAAGAAACACAGTTTGATGAGGACGAAGAAAGAGATGAACACAACCGGCTATTCTGTACTATGAACAAAGATCAACGTGAGGTCTATGATGCCGTTATGGACTCCATTGAAAAGGGTAGTGGAAGGCTTCTTTTTGTCAACGGACCAGGAGGGACAGGAAAGACATACCTCTACAAAACAATAATAGGAAAGCTACGTTCAGAGAACAGAGTTGTCATTCCCGTGGCATCAGCTGGAATTGCTGCACTGTTATTACCAGGAGGAAGAACTGCCCACTCACGGTTTAAGATCCCACTTAACCTGACAGAATGCGAAATAAATCCAGGTACAGTGTTAGCTGGGTTAATCAACAAAGCTGATTTGATTATTTGGGACGAAGCACCATTGGCACATCGTATGGCATTTGAGGCGGTCGACCGAACAATCAGGGACATCATGTCATTAGAAGATGAAACCGCTTTGGGGAAACCATTTGGCGGGAAAACAGTTTTATTAGGTGGAGATTTCAGACAAATACTACCAGTTGTGCCTCAAGGAAGTCGTCAAGATACAGTACAAGCTTCGATAAATCGTTCATACCTCTGGAAATCATGTCAGGTATTCATGCTCACAATCAACATGCGGCTCCAACAAACAGATGCAGATTTTGCCGCATGGATCTTAGACGTAGGCAATGGAACCGCGGAGAAAACCAACGAGGGCGACGAGGAGAGGGTAGCTGTGCCAAGAGATCTGCTACTGCCTATTGTAGGCGATCAGCTACATGAGATAACAACGGCAGCCTACCCTAATTTCACTGAATCATTCAAGAATCATGACTACTTGACTGAACGAGCAATATTAACACCAAGAAATGAAACAGTTCAAGAAATAAATGCGTACCAGCTTGCAAAAGTGCCCGGTGAGCAGCGAGTTTACTTGAGCTGTGACACCATCCAAAAAGAAGCCACACCAGGTGTAGATTGGACCTCACTTTATACTGTGGAATTCTTAAACACACTCTAGTTTCCAGGTCTCCCAAATCACAAGGTATGCCTAAAAGTAGGGGTACCTGTTATGTTACTCAGAAATCTCAATCAGAAATCTGGATTGTGTAACGGGACAAGGTTGATCATCACCAAGCTAGGAAACAAAGTTATAGAGGCAGAGATACTCACCGGCACCCGAGAACATGTGGGGGAGAAGGTGTTAATTCCTCGAATTGTTTTATCTCCAAACGACCACAAACATCCATTCACCCTCCGGCGCAAGCAGTTTCCAATACGGGTATGCTACGCAATGACTGTCAACAAGAGCCAGGGACAGAGCTTAAAAAAGGTGGCATTATATCTTCCACGGTCGGTGTTCAGTCACGGCCAACTGTATGTGGCTCTATCCCGTGTCACATCTCCATCAGGAATGAAGATCCTAGATGCAACAGGAGCAACAACAAAAAAAGAAGGCGTCGTCAACATTGTGTACAGAGAGATATTCAACAATATCAAATCTTGGACAGGTAATGATCAAAACTGGTTTAAGAAATGTTTTAATTTGGAGAGCCTACATTTTTACAAAAGTAAACCACCCACTCTATGTATCTCTATAACAGCCTGTCTTAAACAGAGATCACGACGGAAAAGCCAGCAACCAGCCATCAACCAGAAGTCATGGATATGTAATACACGGTCTAAGGAAAGGTAACGGTTTTTTAAAAAGCCTTTAAAAAAACAAGTCCCCGCCTCTCAACTTATACTAACATGTCTTTCCCATATCACTCATCAGGTTGGGCCTACATTGCGGATACATCATACCAACACCTCTCCAACAGCCCATGATAATATAGTTATATCATATGTCTTCTAAATAACTTCTCAAGTTTTATTTTTCAAAGACTCAGACTTATTAATTGCAATGAGCAAAGTACAACTCTGACGCTATCAACAGATTAACCAATTTCTAATTACAGAAATAGCCTTACACTAATACGTTCATGCAAAGATAATACGTAAACCTGAGAACATGAAACAAATGTAACGACACCCACTACAACATTAAAGAGGAAGTAGAAAACAATTAATACGCACTGCAATGATTACATAAATGGCCACTAACGAAGCTTTCGACTCACCCTTAAAACCAAGATAAATAAAATTAATAAATACCCACTACAATAGCTGTTGTTAATGGCCACTAACACTATAGAAACAAGTAAATACAATTACTACGGGGAAACAAATAACGTAAACAGAACAACGTAGAAGCTATATAAAGCATGCAGAAGAAAGCGAACTCCAACTATCTGCGATTACAAACAAGAAAAACTTTCGAATTCAAATCCTACAAATGTCAACGTTGGAAGCGCTTCCACAAGATGTTCTAGGCGATATTCTATCAAGAGTGGCACAATCTTCACGCCGTGACGTCCAACAATGCATGACTGTGTCAAGCGAACTCGCAGAGGCAGCAAACGATACACGAGTTTACAACAAGCTCAATCTCAAACCACTGGCAATGAATCCGTTAACCACACTCAACAAATACAAAGCTCTCATGGTGAAATGTCTTGACAGCGGGAACGGAGAGGCGCACTACATTGAAGGCATTAAAGAGTACTTCTACTACAACAACGACGCCGGACTGCATCATCTCAGATTATCAGCAGCCAATTCATATGAGGATGGTATTTATCTCTATGGACTTATCATGTTTTGCAGGGGTGAGATAGAAGAAGGAAAAAAATATTTGGATATGCTACAGTGGCAAAAGAGCAAAATACGGGCTGACCACTGCTGGAGAAACAACAAAATATCCTTGCGTGGTATTCACGTCATTAAGAAAGCACTCTACCGCAACACAATGAGAAACAACAAACCACCACGGCGCTGCAATCTTAACGACATGGACACTCGATGCAAGAAGTGCTACTACTACAAGCAAATGAAGAAATTCATGAACCACAACTAAACAGACTACTGCATGGGAAGAGTTGAACAACATCTTCGTGCTTACCTAAATGGCATGAAAGGGCGGAAACCAAAAAAAAAAACAAATCTATTACTTACTATGTCTTCAAGAATGTTTCAAATATAATTTGTTTTACCTAGCTCACGTGTCCAAAAATTCCGTTTACTCATATTATATTTAGGATTATCGCTTCGGTGATTCAGACATAACAAAAGCATATGATATACCGTCACTCTCATAGGTAGGAAGACATATATGACAACAACAAACTACATTTTGGTAACATAAATAAAATATTCAACAAAGCAAGCCTTCTGAAATTACAACTACGAAAAGGAAAGAAACATATAAATACTCTATATAAATACAGTTTATCCGGAAACAGACGATTAATTATATATCAGAATCCGTCCACAACCTTCAATACAATGCGAATACTTACTGAAGTCGCAGGTTATGTAAAATAAAATTGTTAGTGAAGTGGCGTAAAACATAATACAATGCGAAGAATCTATCATAACAAAGACGAAGGTAGACAGTTGCCCAAAAAACAACCCAACGGATCAACGCAATAGTTAATAGAACAAAGGACCTAAACGCAATCAAATAAGTAATTTTCTAACGTAAATAACCACACAACCAACGTTCATGTTCTCAAAACTTATTAAAACAACACGTTGTCAAAACTTTAAAACGGCACCAAATGACCTTTCAAATTCAAACGGATAACCAAACGTTAATACCACCATTACCATCCGTTTCAAATGGATGCAGACATTATATTTAGTGTTAAATACAATTAATAGGCCCAGATTATACGTTACAAGCCAAATGCAGTGAACTATAAAATACACAAGCAGCGTCCGAACTCAAATCCACAGCAACCAACACAAAAAAATGTCTCACAGCGAAAACATAATAAAACTGGAAGATCTGCCAACACATATCCTTGGAAACATTATCTCACGTGTTGGTAGGTACTGTCGAAAGAGCGTACGCAATGCAATGGAAGCCTCCCCACTGTTGGCAAAAGCAGCACAAGACCAGCGAGTTTACAAAACTCTGTACCTAAGACCCCTGGCCTTGCATCCTTTAACAACAACACACAGATACGAAGACCTAATGGAAAGATGTCTGACTAGCGGAAATGCTGAAGCTCACTACATCAAAGGCATAGTACAGTACTTCCACAACAACAACCACACAGAAGGATTGCAAAACCTAAAACTAGCGGCAGAAGGTGGCTATGCCGATGCTGTATATCTATATGGAATCATAATGTTATGCAGGGGTGAATCGGAGGAAGGACGAGCTTACTTGGACAAACTAGACTGGCAAGAAAGCAAATTCAAGGCCGACCGATGCTGGAGAAACATTAAGAGGTCGTTGCATGGAATGCGAATCATACGGCTGCCAATCTACGTAGCAACAATAACAGATATGAGAGAAAGCATAATGTGCGACATCGATGACATGGAGAATAGATGCAACCACTGCTACTACTTCAAACAGATGCTGAAATTTGTGTTCGTCATCTAGATAGTGAGCCATATTTCTACTTGTGCAATCTTTATGTCTACATAAGTTTCCATTTTTAAATATAATTGTCTTCGCAAAGCCTAAATGATATTCCTGATAGTCAATTAGTCTTCAATTAACAATGACATAGAATAGAACAACTACCAGAGTTGGTCTTAATAATGAGACACTTCAAATTGAGCATATATCACACTTCCACGAGCACTCATTAAACATATCAAATCAAAGCGTAAAAAGGAAAAGGGATTTGCGAAACCAAACTTTCTTGCCCTACTGGGACCCGGAGAATTGCCCCGGAAGGTGACAGGAGGTCACCAGACGCAGCAACAAACACGTCCAGGCTACGAAACCATGGTCTGCCCGTTTTCGAATCCTCGAATTTCATGAAACTCTAAATCTGCTTCCTAGGACCTACAGATAGTAAACAGAAGAAACCAATTACAGATCTGCCAAACTTATCACCTACTCATAATCGTGAAAAATGAAGGTATATCTCAGAAATGAAGGTATGTCTCTTGAATCGCGAAAACGAAATTTCAACAACACTCAATCACACAAGGACAAATCACTGAGAAACTGGGAAGATGACATGAAATTGAAAACAAAGAACTGGGTTTGACCCAAAAGTAGAGCCGAAATAATTCACAAACACACTCTCCCAATCTAAACAGCCGGTCTTATTAACACCCAGGGAAAATTAAAACAATAGAAGAGTTAGACCAGATTACCCAGACTTGGCGATGAATGACTAGTGGATTAGAAGGACGAAAGCTTGATTTAACTAAATGGGATTTGGCGGACTTGGAGTGACCGACGAAATAAAGCAGGGAACAAGAACGAGAAAGAAAAAAAGGGCAACAAATTATAGAGTAAATGAATAAAATAAAACTACCCCGCACCCGATTTCAATATTGTAGATACGGAAGTCCCACGTAGTGTAATCCTTACACAAATCAAACTCTATATAAAAAGGATGCTTTACACAATTACAAAATAAAAACCACGTCAACAAAGACTTCAAATAGAGATACGAAATTACAGTAGTAAACATACCACTAAGACAACGGAAATGAAAGAAAAATTATTAAAAGAAATGACTACCACATTCTAAAACACCAAATTACCCCCAGATAGATACACAGTCATTGGCTAACTAAAATTTAAAACACACAATTACAACTGCTTAGACCATCTCCCGCATTTATAATTTCCAACACTAACATATATTACGTAGAAGACAGCAATTCTGTTAAAAAAAAACCTTGCAAACAGGCCGGAAGTAGTGATGAAATATATATTTAAATAACAGATTATTATTTAACATTATTTTCATTATGTTCCTATATATGACCAAACACATATTAAAAATTAATTTTAAATTTACTATTAAAGTTTAACGTATTTATTTATTTATTTTCATATATAATAGCTAAATTAATAATAATATATTTGAAGTATTTATGAGATTTATTATTACGTGGACTAAATTAATAAATCAAGAAATTTATTTGATGAACAGTGCCCCCTTATATTTAAGGGTTTGCTACTGAACCCTTTAAAAAATAAAGGTTTAAGAGGAAATAAAGGTGTAAGACCAAAACACCTTAGAAAACAATGGTTTAAAGATTTCATTTTTACATAAATAAATAGGTATATTTATTAAAATTATTCTTATTTAAGAAAAAATAAAACATAAATGCAAAAAAGAAAGGCAACAGCCGCGCGTAGCGCGGGTCACCCACTAGTATCAAATAATTAGACCTCTCGTATGGCAATAATTCTTGACAGTTAAGAAGAATATAAGTATGCAAATGAGTTTTTTCTTTCTCAGTAAGCTAGCGCTTCATAACTTTTTCACTTAATCTCCCAACTTGTGTGAAAATATATGTTACATGGGTTAAGTATGAAGACTTTTCTCCTCCATCATTGTTGCGACTCATAGTTTGTACACTTGGTGAAAAGTAATAAGTAGAAAATTAGATGTTTCTTCGTATGCTTTAAGCAACAATATATCCTTCCACTTTGCTTAAATTTTTTACCTTCTTCTTTAGATGGAACATGAACCGCTCGAATGGATTCATTCATCTGCACTGGACATAACCACCAAGGGCTGCTTCCTAAGGGACATGAATTAGAAGATTCTCCATTACATCAAAAGATGGTGGAAATATCTTTTCAAAGTTGCAAATGAGAACGGGTATATTGTCAGACAAATATTGAACCTCATCAATTATAAGTGATTTTGTCAATACATCCCTAAAGAAAGCACCTACTCCTGGATTTAAACAAGAACCAATAAGTAATTAGAGACTCATATATAAATATAAATTTTAAATTGGGAAGATGTTAGATAAATAATGAATATATGCAATAGCTTCATGTACAGGTGTTGGTAGAAGTTCACCAAATGCAAACGGTAGCAAGCTTTGCACAAAAACATGACAATCATAACTTTCATCCCAGATAATCTACCTTCATGGCTTTCAACACAGTTGTGTATAGCATATCCATCTGAAATTTATCATTATGGACAATTCAATGGAAAAGAGCACCTTTCGATCCTCTGTCTAATCTGAAAATGGGGATTGAAGCATTTCCATTTGCTAAGACATGTAGATAATTACAGGCACATAAATGAGGCAAGTCCAATCTCGACTTCAAATTATCTTTTGTTTTCCCCGTGACGTTGAGAACTGTATTCATGATGTTATCAAATAGGTTTTTCTCAATATGCATGATATCAACAAATACTATTTTCAATATCGTAAATCCTATAAAATACTATTTTTGTGCCAGTTGTGGTATTCTCCACAACCGTTCACTGGTAAATATCCATTATCACCGCACTCTACTGTCATTTGAGAGCCAAAATCTCAAACTTTCTTCAATACATTGTAACCAATAACCTCAAGTGGAGGAGTTTAACGAACAACTCAGTTCTTCATAAACAACTTTCTGTTGCAATGATAAGGATGTGAGGTTGGCAAGAAGCATCTATGACAATCAAACCAAGACATCTTCCAGTTATTTCTCAATTGGAATGCATTTGTATTTCTCTGACAAGATGTGCACGAAAACCTTCCATGCATTGTCCCCATATAACATTTCATACATCATAATCTTGAACTCCATGCTCCTATAATTCTTGCAACTCATGAATCAGTGGCTGTAAGAACATATCAAGAGACAGCTTTGGGTGTTCTGGACCAGGAACGAATACAGTGAGAAAAAAAAACTATCATTTTATGGACAAAGATAAAGGCTAATTGTAAGTAATCACAATGACAGGCCATAAAGAATATTATCTCTCATGCTTCACAAATGGGTTGAAACCATCCGTTCATAGCCTAAGGTATACATTCCTGCTCTCAGATGCAAAAAAATGGATAATTGTTTGAAAATGTTTATATGCCTCTACGTCTGAGGGATGTGCTATTTTCCCTTCGTTTGAATGCTCTTAATGCCATATCATAGGCTTTGCAGTGCACTTTGATTGATATAACCTTTTTAACTTATCTGCTAATAGTAAATACCACATACGCTTAAATGGTACTCTAACTCTTTTACCTGTATTCTAAAACTAAGGCTTGCTACAAAATCGACATGTCAAGTAGTTTGCGTCTGATTTCCAAAAAAAACATACAGTTGTCGATGAAAACGTCAATCATCTGATATGGTAACCTAAGACCAGAAACAAGCTTCTCAATCGCATAATACGAAGCCTGTGCTAAATTGCCTTCTGTCAAAAGATCTTTAACAAAATCCGCAATAACATCTACACAATCCTTAGACAAATTGTACACCATCTTGATATTCATTATATTTTTGCGTCAGATAAAAGAGAATGACCTTCCTTACAACCTTCATATATTGGATGCTTTGTTACATCTAACATATCAAAAATCGTCTTGCTTCAAAATTGGATTCCTTTACTCTATTTTCATCTTCCCAAAATATTTGGTGATTCTCCCTAGAAGCATCATGAACCATCTGAGCCGTACCAATGTTCTCTACTGCCATTCTAGGTTCTTCCAACCTCTCTGTTTCACTAGCTAGTATACTACCCTCCTTCACTACATCTTTTTCCCCGTGATAATACCAGATTTTGTATTTCAGCGTAAACCCTCGACTATATAAGTGATTCCACACTTTATATACACTAATGAATTTATTATTATTACAACATGGACATGGACAAATGATCTTACCACTCTTTAAGCATGTATCCTGATTTGTTGCAAAAAGTATAAATTCAGTGAGTCCATCCGCAAACTCACTTGTGACTAACCCGGTATTTGAATCCCCCCTCTCATTGTTCATCCACGATCGTTAAATCATTGTAATTTGAAGACATTTCATAATTCTTTTAATTATTTTGTTTGTTATAACGATATTATAGGAATGAGACCTAGGCTTTACATAAACAAGTTGTATGTCCAGTTCCTATGGATTTTCTACCAATTTCCTACCAAATTTTCAAATGTCTATATAAACAGCTATAAATGACTATAAGCTTTTACAATGGTATAAAATTTTCCTACAGGAGTCCTATAATTTTCCTACATATAATATTTGGTAGGAAAATTTGTGAAACATTTTCGACAATTTACCTACCAGCTTAACGGTGAACTGGGCCCTACTACGTTTCTACCAAATTCTGACTAAATTCTCTACAAATCTTTATTTGGTATACAATTTCCAACCGTTTCTTGACATATTTATATCTCAGGAATTTTCAGACTACTTTCCTACTAATTCTACTTATCGTTAAGATTGTGTAGGAAATTGGTAGATATATTTTCCTACCAACTATTTTGTCAGAATTTACGTAGGAATATATGATGTTTTCTTGTAATGATTTTTGTAAACTAATGTAAAGGATTGAAATTTGGATGAAGATATATGTACTCGATATCTTTGGCCTCCAACCCACGAGCAACAACATCAGTTGCAACAAGAACCGGAGTCATGCCACTGGTTTGATTCAAAACATTGTCTAT